CCCGCCGTGACCCGGCGGCGGCTTTTGGGGCGCGCGCGCGGCCTTCTGGGAGTTGTAGTCCCGCCGCCTGGTGGACCCGCCTGTCAGGACCGATCGCCACGTAGCAAACGGTTGTGCTGAGGACACAACATAGCCCTGTGGCCTTCCTGCGGAAAACGCTCCACTGATCCCATCCCAGGGGGAAACTGCAGATGAACCCAAATTGAGGGACACCTGCTAAACAGCTAGCCCGCTCGTGCCGTAGTGTCAGCGTCACGAAAGACCAAGGAAGATAAAGAGATGGGCAACTGAAGGCTGCTCGTGGGCCTGGCATTTTGGGGACAATTGGCAAAGATTGGATCTGCACTGTATGTTACATAGTGTAACAGCTGCGCCCAGTCCCCCAAGGGTGATCTTTGTCTGGGGGTCATATCAGAAAAGTCCTTTTTCTCAGTAGACATACACTGAGATATTCAGGGGTTGTGATGTGATGTCTGCAACGTAGTCTCAGATGATTCACAAGCTAATAATGGTAATCACAACACGTAGCTACCGATAGCGGGAGAGAGAAAATGTGGTAGGATGTTAGCAGGTGATGAATATGGGGTAAATATAAACGACGTGCAATGTAGTCCTCTTGTAACTTTTTTCTTTAAACTTGAAACTTGTCAAAATAAAAAGATTTTAGAAGTTCTTTATAGGCTCTTCCCCCACATATTTCAAAATAAAACCAAAATTGAAACCAAAATAAGAGGAAGGAAGCCCAACAGGATTGTTAAGTTTTCCCCACGATCACTGTGCAACAATTTTTTTGAAAATACTAAGAACAACGTTCTTTCAGAAAAGGTGTTTTCTCCTTAGTGTGACCTGGCTTTGCCCTTTCGAGGGATGTTGACAAGCACGTGATGGCCCTGGCTGTGGAGGAGGGCCTGGAGGCTGCAGAGTGAAGCTGGCACCGGCTCCAACGAGCCTCAGGGCTGGTTCCAGGCTGGTCTGACTGAACGAAGTGGACGAGTGTGGTTTGTGTGAAACCGTCCAGGCAGGAGGAGAGCTGCACACAGCGATGGGGAAGTGAGAACAGTCCTGGGGACTGAGGGGTGGTGCTGGGGAAGCCCCTCTGGATCCTTCTGTCCTCCCCCCACTCAGGAACGCAGCAGACACAGGTCAAAGGTGGGATTGATGGGGTTCAAGGTGGATGTTGGTCATGCCACTCACTCAGCGGGGACGGGGGATCACGTAAGATGCGTGCTCACACTCCCCTGCTCAAAACCTGGATGGGCTGCCCTCGACAGAGCCCAGACTCCTCGGCTGGACAAGCCAGCCCTTCCCAAATTCCTATCGACCTGAGCTCCCACGAAGCTCCTCCCCAAGCCCTTTCCCAGGCCGCCCTGCCCTAGTGGAGACTCTCAGATGCGATGCGGCTGGCTGCCCACAGCCATGATGCTTCTGCCAAATTCCCACCGTTTTAGGGTCTGTGAACCTTGGCAGAAACGCTGCTGTAGAAGTGAAAATACCCCCATGGTGTTGTAAGCACCCGAAAGCAGGGGAGGGGAGGGTGGGAAATGCCCTGTGTGGTCTTTTAGTGCTAGGGACCTCAAGAAGCACTTCCTAATCAAATGAACAGTCTTCCCCCCAAAAGATGTCATCTCTCCCACCTCAATAGAGTGAGACGGAGCAAGGGCTCCAAAATAGGCCAGAGGAGCCTGGGAAAGAGGACGCTTTGAGAAGGGCAGCTCTCCATGAAGATGGATGCATCCTGGGGAAGTGCCAGGGGAAGCAGAAGTCCGTGATTCCAGGACCTTCCCGTGGCCACCCAAGGGTGTTTCCAGACCTAGGATGCATCCCCTGACCTTGACTCATGGACCAGGGGCGGGGGTGGGGGTGGGGGTTGGGGGGCAGGCAGGTGGTGGCTGGCCAAGTCTCTGAGCTGAAGGCCTGGGATTGCTGGGGCCACAGACAGCTCTGCAGAGATGGGAGCACTGCTAAGAGGCCCCAGAGACTGATTTCAGGCCCCTCCCCATGGAGCAGTGCCCTCCAGCCACCTCCTCGATGCAGAGCTGAAACCAGGCCTCTCGCGGTTCCGTCAGACCTCTCTAGTTTGTTTCCTCACTTTTTTTTTTTAAGTTATCTTTTCCAACTTAAAAAAAATTTATTTATTTATTCATATTTGGCTGCGTTGGGTCTTCGTTGCCGCACGCTGGCTTTCTCTAGTTGGTGAGCGGAGGCTACTCTTCGTTGTGGTGCACAGGGCTCTAGGCACTCAGGCTTCAGTGGTTGCAGCACGTGAGCTCAGTAGTTGTGGCTCATGGGCTGTAGAGCACAGACTCAGTAGTTGTGGCGCACATGGGCTTAGTTGCTCCACGGCATGTGGGATCTTCCCAGACCAGGGCTCAAACCCGTGTCCCCTGAATTGGCAGGCGGATTCTTAATCACAGAACCACCAGGGAAGTCCCTGTTTCCTCACTTTTAAAATGGATTGGGGACTTCCTGGTGGCACAGTGGTTAAGAATCCACCTGCCAATGCAGGGGACACGGGTTTGAGCCCGGGTCTGGGAAGATCCCACATGCCACGGAGCAACTAAGCCTGTACACCACAACTACTGAGCCTGCATGCCGCAACCACTGAAGCTTGCGTGCCTAGAGCCCGTGCTCCGCAACAAGAGAAGCCACCGCAATGAGAAGCCTGTGCACCGCAACAAAGAGTAGCCTCGCTTGCTGCAACTAGAGAAATCCTGTGTGCAGCAACGAAGACCCAATGCAGCCCAAAATAAATAAAATAAAAATAAATAAATTTACTTTAAAAAAAAGAATGAATATTAAAAAAAACATGATTCTATCATACAACCCAGCAATTCCATGACTAGGTATCCACTCAAGAGAAACAGAAGCATATGTCTACACAACCCTTCACATGAGACTGTGCACAGAATCTTCACTCACAAGGGCCCCCAGCTGGAAACCACCCAAGTTTCCACTGACTGATGTACAAAACAAACAAAACAAAACATGGTCTATTACAACAGAAGGTCATTCAGCCATACAAAGGAACGCAGCACTGACACACAGCAACACAGATGAAACTATAAAACATGATACTCGGTGAGAGACGCCAGGCACCAAGGATCACACAGTGAATGAGTCCATTTATGTGAAACGTCCAGAGCAGGCAAATCCACAGAAATGGAAAGCAGGTGAGTGGGTGCAGAGCTGGGGGAAGGGCTAGGTGGGGACAGGAGTGACCCCTAACAGGCATGATTTCTTTGGGGGGGCCAATGGAAATGTCCTAAAACTGGATCGTGGTGATGGTTGCACACTCGACAAATTTACTGAAAATCTTTGAACTGCACATTTAAAATGGGTGAATTTCATACTATGTAAATTATACCCCAATACAGACTCTTTAAAAGCATTGCCCACCCGGGCTTCCCTGGTGGCGCAGTGGTTAAGAATCCGCCTGCCAATGCAGGGGACACGGGTTCAAACCCTGGTCCGGGAAGATCCCACATGCCGCGGAGCAGCTAAGCCCACGCGCCACAACTACTGAGCCCGCGTGCCACAACTACTGAAGCCTGTGCACCTAGAGCCTGTGCTCTGCAACAAGAGAAGCCACTGCAATGAGAAGCCCGCGCGTCACAATGAAAAGTAGCCCCCACTCGCTGCAACTAGAGAGAAAGCCCAAACACAGCAACGAAGACCCAATGCAGCTAAAAATTAATTAATTAATTAAAAAAAAAAAAGCATTGCCTACCCATCCTTAATGTGTGTTTCTGAGTAGCTTGCTCCCTCTGAAGGCCCCCTTCCCAGCAGCTCTGGTGGCCTCACCAGCTGCCACAGAACTGTGATGGAACCCCCAGGGTGAAGGAGCTGTGGAGCCAGGAAATGGACTCCCCAGCCCTTCTCATGAGAGATGTTGGAACAAGGAGCAGCCAAAGAGAAACTTCCTCAAGCCACATGGAGAGAGGACCACAGAAGTTAATGCAAGGAAAATAAGAGTTCTCCAGGAGCCAGCCTGTGGTTGCCCCAAACCCATGCCCAAGGAGAGGCAGAGCTGAAGCGCAGCTCTGCCACGTGGCAAGTTGGGCCGTGTTGAAATGACTTCCTACTATGGGGGGTGGGGTTGGTTGGTGTAAGAATGCCTCAGAGAGGGAAAGAATGCAGTCGTGGGGATCCTGAGGCCCGGCTCTGCCTGTGGGCCCTCCCCCCACCCTGTGGAATACCCACATCCTATGTTAGAGGGCAGGTGTGCCTGGCCCAGGCCGGAGGCAGCAGCCTGATCCTCAGTGTGGGTGGGGGGCCCTCTATGGAGTGTGCTGGGGTCAGGGGTGGCCGAGAGTGGCTGAAGACTTGCTCTTCCCGCCGGCCCACCATGTGAGCACAGCTGCTGTGTAGCGAGGCCTCAGGAACAGAGCTGTAGGCAGGTGCAGTTCACCCTTTGCATGAATCCATCTACCGATGCGGCATTGGCCAGTGTTAGGATGGCGCCCATCAGGAAATCCTTACCAGTGGCCAGGTTTGAGACCTCCCTGGGGACCAGCACCAGGTCCCATATGGCCAGGCCTGCTAGGCTCCCCACAAAGGCCTCAGGGCCATCAAACCTGCCCCCAACGCTGTCTCGCTCCTGGCCTAGCGTGAGGGAGCCTCCTGGAGGAATCTCATAGCCTTCCCCAAAGCGGGAGCCAGTGGCCGCTAGCCTTCGGCCCATGTGGAGCCAGTACCTGCCCAGGCCCAGGATGGACGTCCAGATGACACACACATGGTGCCAACAGCCGTCTAGCAGTGGCTGGAGGGGCAGCTCCCTGAAGGCCGGGTCTCCAATCACAGAGTGGATGGAGCCGGGGGGTAGGGAGTCTCGGCCATGCAGAACCAGCTTGTCATTTTCTTTGCTGGTGTACGAGAGGAGGGTGCCCAGGTGGCCCAAGGCTGTGCGGACCCAGCCGCAGACAGACAGGGCCCGTAGGCCAGTGACGAAGCCGGGCGGAAGATTACATTCACAGTGGACGCGTTCGGAAAGATGAGTGCAGGGCCCATGTTGCAAACTAGAAACAGAGCGGGGAGAGTCAGCCCACACCACGAGGGGCAGCGGCTCACTTATTCTCACGTGATCAGCCTCTTACCGGTGGGAGAACTGAGAAGGAGGACACCTGGCTGAGCCACATTCCTCACCAGCAGGGGCCCCTGGATGAGTGTCTGTGGCTGCTGGAACAAATCCCCACAAACACAGTGGCTCAGAACAACACAAATTTAGCATCTCACAGTCTGGATGTCAGAAGTCCCTGCAGGTCTCCCAGGGCTTAAAATCACAGTGTGGGCTGAGCTGGTTCCTCTGGAGGCTCTAAGGAGAAGCCCTTTGCTGCCCTTTGACGTCTACTCCTGCCCTTGTATCTGCATCCCTGACACTGAGCCTCCTGTCTCCCTTTTATAAGGACCCTGTGATGACACTGGTCCACGGGATAATCCAGGATCAGCTCCCATCTCAAAATCCTTAATCACACCGGAAAGTCTTCTTGTCACGTGAAGTGACACATCCACAGGGTCTGGAACCAGGACATGGACATCTTTGGGGGCTTCCTGCTCACCAGACTTCCTGCTAGATCTGCTTGCCAGAAGGGTAGGTGAGGCAGGGGTGGGACACCCAGCCAGAAGCTGGGGGCAGAGCCAGGGAATGTGCATTTCTAGCCCACTGGCCCCTTGGGTTCCAGGGTAGAGGGCGTTCTGTGGCCAGCCCCCACCTCCTCTCTTCACCTGGGGGCTCTTGTCATAATCTTTGGCAGTGGTCCTCAATTGGAGATGACTGTACCCCTGGGGGACATCTAGCAGCGTCTGCGGACAGTTTCGGTCGTCAGAACTTTGGTGGCTCCCAAACCTACAGCCCCCCTTTCCCGGGACCCCTGGTGGTGCCCTCCAGGTCAGCCCGTCAGCCCTGTCTTACTGGTGAGGCCCCTAGAACCACACAGATGGGGAGGGACCTGCTTCAGATTAATGGGCCCTGTGGGCTGCAAGGCCAGACAGGGAGCAGCCTGGTCACAGCTGAGAGTTCGAGCTGAGCGGGCATCTAGTAGTTGGAGGCCAGGGATGCTGCTGAACACCGTTCAATGCCCTGGATGCTCCTACAACTAGGGACTGCCCGACCCCAGACGCCAGTACAGTAGTGCCGCCATAGAGAAACCCTTGCCTGGAGATGAGAGGTGGCAAAGCAGAACCGGCTTTGCAAAGGCCGGCGGGCCTCCATTGGTGGGCACAGACCCCATGGGATGCAGGCCGGGGCCCTGCAGAGTGGGTTCCTGCTGGCTACGGCTGAGGACGTCCTTGGGACCCCACCAGCCTTGACCAGGGTTATCACCAACTCTGAGTGGGCATTTACTGCCTGCGGGCAGCACCCCACTGGTGTGTGCATTGGGTGGCCTGACCTGCAGGCAGGCCATCACCTGGACGGTTCCTTTCTTTGAAGTGGGTTTTGTGGGGTGTAAAGCAGTGTCTTCTCCGCTCAGCCTGGGGAGAAGTCCTCCTGGAAGGGACTGGAGGCACCAGAAGGAAAAGTGGACACTGATGGGGAAGGGCAGGCCACGGTGCTTACTCTCTCCTGGGCTCTCGGTGGGCCACGTCTGCTGGGCCTGGGGACTCCTGCGTCCCTTGGAGACAGCGAGCGAAGTCCAGAGGTGGGTCCCCGAGCTCAGGCGGAGCTCTGGGTGCCTGCCTGCCTGCCTGCCTGCAGCTGTGGGGAGCTCGGGCTCGATGGTCTAGGTGGGACTGGGGTCACCTGCAGGGCGGCAGTGCCAGGGCTGGCCACTTGCAGCAGCCCCTTGAAAGCTGCCAGCCCGGCGCCCTGGCTCTGGACGAGGGGCATCAGGCGAGCCAGCATGCCGTGCACGGCCCGCACGTCCAGGGCCAGCCAGAGAGGGCGTTCCTCTGCTCCTCCTGCCCCTTCCTCTCCTGGGTGCGCTGCTTGCTCCTCTCGCTCAGGGCGGCGCCCAAGGCCAGCAGCCTGTTGTCCACCTTCTGGCCTCTGCACTGAGTCTTCCACACCCAGGTCTCGAGGTGGCCCAGGTCGCCCTGCACGGCGGCCTGCTGCTGGCTGAGCGCCAGGGCCACGGCCTGGCTCTCGCGGGCCAGGCTCCAGAACGAAGCCTCCATAACGAAGGACAGGTTGTAGTTGCTGGCGATGCCCTGCAGGTGCTTTAGGGTTGCCTCTTGGAACCTCCGAAACTGTAGAGAGGACACAGGCACTCCTGGGGATTCGATTCTCAGGGCAACGCGGTGAGGCGGCTGATCACTGCCGCCAGCCCCCTCGCACCAAGCTAGAGCTCAGCCCCAGGTCTGTGCTGCAGTGGGTGAGGGCGCCACAGGCGGCTCCCATCCCTCCCCGAGCGCCACACTCTTTACCCCTCGACCCTCAGGGTCCTACCTGCCAGCGAGATGGCTGTGCGTGGGGATCAAAGTGGGGAGTGCTTGGCGCAGCCCTGATGCCTGCAGGGCATCCGGGAACTGGCCACGGACCCGCACAGGAGTCTCTGCTCTGTGGGGGGGGCCCGGGACATTATTCCCCATGCCCAGCGGGCTGGCCCCCACCCCCCAGCACACCTGCAGCTACACTCCTCAGGTGGCCCCCAGCTCCACCCACCCTCAGCTGGCTCGGCTTTAGAACAAACTCCCCAAACCCATTTTGCTATTCCAGCCATAGGTGAAAACAGGCAGCGGATAAGAACTGCAAACTCTACGCTGAGCCCACAGAGCACAGAAGCCTTCTACTGTTTCTATGACTTCTGTGCTTTGTCTGGTGTCAGTTAAAAAAACTCTACTGCCCCAAACAGTGGGCATACTCACCTGTGCTTCTAGTCTACAGAGCCTCTCAAGGAATGGTTTTCTTTGCCTCTCAGGTGCGGTTTCTTGCAACAAAGCCCCACGTAGATATATGGGCACAAAAATGAGGAAGAAAGGCAGGGTTTTCCTCCCCAGGCAGCCCATTCTGAGAAGGAGCAAGAGGCACCCCGGCTGCAGGAGAAGCCATCTGGTTGGAGCTCCTGCCTCCCCCACGCTCGCCCACCTTTCCTGGGCAGTGGTTTTCCTTCTTCCTCTCTGGCTTGGAGTCAGGTACCGCCTGACACCTTAACAAAAGGCATTTGCTCTGGAGACTTGGAGGTTCCCAAGGACACAAGCTTAAAACAGATGCGAACAGTTTCCTTGGAAAATAACTCTACTGGGTGCAAGCCCTGGTCCAGCTGGCTCAGAGGCAGAGAGGGGCGATTATTTTAGCAGGAGCACACGGACTCATGTTCCCACCAGAGAAGTCAAAGCAGGACACGGATCCCAGTGGGGGCCGGCGAGTCCTTAGAGCCAAGTCTGCATCAGGGCCCAGCCTGCCGGCTGTGCACAACAGATCTGATGAGGCCCCTCTCTTGCCCTTGGACAAGGCAAAGGAAATGGGATTGGAGCCACTTAAATTTGTCTTGGGGCCCAGGTTGTGTAGTGGGCTGAGTGGTAGGTCTCAGTCCTAACCCTGGTGCCTGTGAATGGGAGTTTATTTGAAAAAAGGGTCTTTGCAAATGTAATTAAGGATCTTGAGATGAGGTCATCTTGGATTATCCATATGAGTCCTAAGTGTCTTTCTGAGACAGAGAGAAGATCACATGGGGAGAAAGCCATGTGAAGATGGAGGCCGAGGCTGGGGTGAAGCTGACACAGGAGCACAAGGAGCTGGGTGGGGCAGGAAGGATCCTCCCCAGGAGCCTTCGGAGGGAACGTGGTCCTGCTGACACCTTGATCTTGGATTTCTGGCCTCCAGAGATGCAAGGGAAAAATGTTCTTGCTGTTTTAAGCTCCCCTATTTGTTGCCATTGGTTATAGCAGCCCCCGGAAACAAACGCAGGCTGTCTAAGTAAATAGGGGGCGTGGGACCTCATTCTAGGGCCAGGTCCATGGACAGTTGTGACCCAGTGAGGGGAGCAGGATAAAACCATGGTCAAGGCCAAGACTTGCAGTTACACAAGACGGCTGTGCAGAGAAGCTGGTCTCCTCTCACTCCTCAAGCGTCACTTTGATGGCAGCAAAGGAACAAAGCCTGAAGGAGACACAGGGCAAGGAGAGCAGGCAAGGAGAACTGACCCGATGGAGCAGAGAGAACTGCAGAGGGGAGCCTGAGGGGCAAGCAGCGTGTCGTGTCAGTGTCCTGGGGCTGCTGCACCCGATGACTACCCTGGGGGGTGGGAGCAGGAATTCATTCTCCCACGGCTCTGGAGGCCGCAAGTCAGAAATCAAGGTGTCAGCAGGACCACACTCCATCCGAAGGCTTCTGGGGAGGATCTTTCCTGCCTCATCCAGCTCCTGCTGTTCCTGTGGCAGCATCACCCCAACCTCGGCCTCTGTCTTCACATGGCCTTCTCCCCTGTGTGTCTCTCCTCTTCTGTCTAACAAGGACACCAGTCATTGGATTCAGAGCCCACCCGGATAATCCACGGTGATCTTATCTTGAGATCTGTAACTTAGGTAACGTCCGCAAAGATCCTTTTTCCAAATAAGGTCACATTCACAGGTACAGGGATTAGGACTTGGACATGTCTTTTTGGGGGCTACCATTCAGCCCATTACAGGGAGGTTTGAGAGGTTGGGGTGTGTCCAGGGATGGTGGGGGTGCTGGGGCAAGGTGCAGGCTGGAGTGAAGAGACTCATGTCAGTCTGGATACAGAGCTGCCGGACCCCTGTCTCCTCCCTGACCCCCTGTGCTGGGCGACTGCTCCTGCACACCAGCCCAGCCCCAGCACGTGGTCTGCTGGCTCTCTGGAGCCGCACTATCCAATACCAGAGCTCCAGCCACATGCGACTGTTGAGCCCTTCATGAGGCTAGTCTGAGTGGAGATCCGCTGCAGGTGAAAAGTGCACACTGGATTCAAAGACTTAGTACAAAAAAGGAATGTAAAATACCTCACTACCAACAAATTTTATGTGTGATTACATTTTTAAATTTATTTATTTATTTGGCTGCACCAGGTCTTAGTTATGGCATTTGGGATCTTCGTTGCTGCGTGTGGGATCCAGTTCCCTGACCGGGGAGGGAGCGTGGAGTCCTAACCACTGGACCACCAGGGAAGTCCCATGATTACATGTTGAAATGGTAATATTTTGGATGGACTGGGTTAAATAAAACACATTATTAAAATTAACTTCAGGGGCTTCCCTGGTGGCGCAGTGGTTAAGAATCTGCCTGCCAACGCAGGGGACACGGGTTCGAGCCCTGGTCTGGGAAGATCCCACATGCCGCAGAGCAACTAAGCCCATGCACCACAGCTACTGAGCCCGCATGCCACAACTACTGAAGCCTGCACGCCTAGAGCCCATGCTCTGCAACAAGAGAAGCCACCGTAATGAGAAGCCCACGCACTGCAACAAAGAGTAGTCCCTGCTCGCCCCAACTAGAGAAAGCCCACGTGCAGCAGCAAAGACCCAACTCAGTCATAAATAAATAAATAAACAAATAAATAAATGTTTTAAAAAATAAAAGTAAATAAAATTAACTTTAGGACTTCCCTGGTGGTCCAGTGGTTAAGAACCTGCCTTCCAATGCAGGGGGCGTGTGTGTTCAATCCCCGGTTGGGGAACTAGGATCCCACATGCCGCGGGGCGACTAAGCTCATGCATTCTGGGGCCCATGCAATGCAACTACTGAGCCCGCGCGCACTGGAGCCCACGCGCCTCAACTAGAGAGAAGCCTGCATGCTGCAACTAAGACCCAAAGCAGCCAAATAAATAAAATTAACTTCACCTGTTTCTTTTTACTTTTTTTAGTATGGCTATAAAATACTTAAAATTAAATATGGGACTCACGTCATAGTTGGATTGAACAGCATTGCACTGGAGAAAGACTCCAGGTCTGCAGGCCCCTGGGCACAGAGACAGGGGCTTTCCTTTCAATCTCTTTCATCATCCATTCTTTAAAAAAAAAAATTTAGTGGAAAGCATACATATCATAAAATTCACTCATTTTAAGTGTAACGCTAACAACAAGGTATTGAAATTAATGTCTACCTATTGGACTGTGGGAGTCTGAGGGTTCTGCCAGCTTCTGGAAAGCAGCAGCCACAGCCAGGCACCTGCCCCCAGGCTGGAGAGGGGAGGGAGCTTCTTTAGCCCCAGCAGAAAACCTGCACTTACTGACAGGCAAGAGCTTCCCTGCACCCCACCAAACAAAATCCCATCCACAGGTGAGACAGAAGTCTGCCCAAACAGAAAAGAAACTGGGAGACGTGCAGCGGGCCAAGGAAAGGCTCAAAGGCATTCTAAATAATACCCTCAGAGAGACAAGAAAAGCTTTGTGTCCACAAGGCAAGAAACGGGGACTTCTCTGGCGGTCCAGTGGTTAAGACTCGGCGCTTCCACTGCAGGGGGCGCGGGTTTGATCCCTGGTCAGGGAATTAAGATGCCGCATGCCTCATGGCCCAGCCAAAACAAACAAACAAAACAACAACAACAAAAAAAACACAAGGCAAGAAACGATGCTATGAAAAAAGAAATAATCAGAAAGGAAGAAGTTGCTCTTGGAAATGAAAATTATGATTTTCCCCCAAATCAAAAAAGTAATAAAATGACTAAATAAAAAAATAAAATAAAATGCAAACAAATAGATAAGTATAACAGAAAAGCTAAAAGGCGAAGTTAAGGCAATTTGTCAGAAAGAAGGCAAAAAGGCAAAGAGAGAGAAAAGAAGAGAGAAAACATTGGATTGAGATCAATCCAATGAAAAGAAACTTAGAGAGTGAGACTACAGGATATAGTGGAGGAAATTTTAGGAAGATAATACAGGAAGGTGCTGCAGACAAGGGCACCCATCATTTCAAGACCACATGGCAGAGAGCACCAGGTCAAGGAACGGGGCCTGACTCCAAAGCTCATCTTGCCAAGTGTCAGACACCACAGATGAGATCCTAAATGTGTCCAGAGAGAAAAACCTGGTCACATGCGAAGGGTTGGGACTTTCTCCAGAGTGCTGTGGGCCACCTCAGCAGCAAAGCTGGCTGCCAAAGACAGAGGAGCAAAGTGATTTTCATTTAAAATTAAGCAGTCAGAGTGGCTGGTTAGCCCAGATGGTTAGAGCGTAGTGCTGATAAAATTGTGCATCTAGCTCAAATGTGAATCTACCTGGAGCAAAGAATAAAGGCATTTTTCAGATATGCAAAGGCTTAAGAAATTTATCGTCTGTGCAGGATCTCTTGAGAAGTTACTGGATAACAGGATTCAGGAAAATGTGGGGAATAGAGAAGGGAGGAAGCTGTAATAGGAACCGGGAGTGAGAGCCCTAGTCCAGGAGCTGCCCAGAAGGAGTTCTCGGAGAGTCCCAGCAAGGCATCATCCTCCGCTCCTCGGTCCCTCGCACCCACGTCCAACCCATCCGGTCCAGCCCAGGTCAGCTCCTTCTCACCACCTGGCCCACCCTTGTCCACGCACCGGACGCCCCGCGGGGCTTTCTGCATCCGCGGTTGCCCCCTACCGTCCATTTTCCTAACTGCACCCAGGGTGGAGCTTTTAAAAGCAGACCGCTCTTGGTCACTCATTTTCTTACTCTCCTTAATTTTTCTTACCATTATCTGCCATCTGATGTATTGTACGTGTACTTTATTTGCCCCCTTGACGTGTGAACAGGAACTTTGCTTCATTCTGTGCCCTGGAAGAGTGCTTGCTGCCTCAGCAGGCAATTAGTTAATGCATGTTGAATGAATAAATGTTTTCCATGTCACCTCAACGGCCTTCTGAGCTGAAATAGTACCTCTTTGAGAAGTCTTCCCAGATCGCTCCCCAAGGTCGCCATAGGACGTTCTGCCAAGACGGAAGGTCCTATATCTACGCTGTGCATTGTGTCAGGTGGCTATCGAGCCCTTGACACGTGGACAGTGCAACCAAGGAACTGACCCGGTGGCTGGTGGCTACCGTGCTGAACGGTGAAGCACCTGTCCCAGGACATCCATCAATACCCGAAATCACCCCAGTTGCGACTTCATCCTAGTCTGTGGCCCGTTTCCCTGCAAAGGTCGTGGCCTGCGGAGACCGGGCCATACCTCTGGGCGGGCGGCGAGGCCGGACACGCGTTTGGTGCTCAGTAGGAGTTTGTGGAGGCACCCCACGTGTGAGCTCAGGAGAGATTGGGGCTCGCTAGCGGGGGAAGGGCGGGAGGAGGTCACTCCGGGAAGACCGACGCGGAGGCTGAGGGAAGGCGGGCGGGCGCAGAAGTGCTGGACTCCAAGCCACCTGCCGCGCAGCCCAAAGCACACTGCCCCGCCCACCAGGAACCACGCCCACTCGGGTCCCGCCCCCATGTGCCCCGCCCCAGCGCAGGCGCAGATACAGCCGCCTGTCCCGCGCGTCTTCCGGCTCGCAGGTTCGCCGCAGATTCACCAACTGCCCCTAGTACCGGCACCGCAGGCTCAAAAAATTCAGCACCAGCTCTACCAGGGTCCCGGGAACTTTTGCTCTGCGGCCGCGTGAGCTGGACCGCGAACCGAGCGCAGAGCTGGGCCTCGGGGGCTGTGGCGAATCGGCGACGAGTCGGTATTGGCGGAGCGAGCGGGGCGCAGCGCGCCTTGGCGACTCTGCGGACCCGGCGGGTTCGCGCTTCCCTGTGACCGCTGCCCGTCCGGAGGTCCCCGCCCGCCCCGACACCCCATCCCGTCCCCCGAGGACCGCTGCCCGCCGCTCCACTAGGTGGGCTCCGGGCGCACGCTGGGGAGCGGGCGCGGGGCCGGGCGATCGCTAGCCGGTCTCCACGCCCCGAGAAGGAGCCCGCGTGGACCGGGCTGGGCGAGGAGGCCCAGGCCAGGGGGACACTTCTTGTGCCCCTAGTGCATCCCGACCTAGTGGCTGGGTGCACTGGTGACAGATAGGTGCCTACTTAATGGCGCTCTTGCTGCAGGGGCACCCGACCCGAAGTAAATGCTACCTGCAGATGATTTTGGTTTCTGGGAAGGAAGGGAGCTTGGCAAGGTGAACCACAGGTGGATGCGTCAGGGAGTTAGAAGTGCTGATGGGTCTCCCAACCTCAGCTCCCTTGACATTTGGGTTTGGATACTCCTGTTGTGGGGGCTGTCCTGCGTAATGGGGTATATGGGATGTTTACCAGCATCCCTGGCCTCAGCCACCCACTAGAGGCAGAGTAGCACCTCCTGTTATGACATCTAAGGTGTCTCCAGACATGGGTCCCTGGGGGCGTGGTTGCCCTACTGCAGAGGGCACCGTGGAAGCCTTGGACCATGAAACCTTCCCTCCTCGAGGGCGGGAGAGCGGGCTTTCTGAGAGTATGTGAAAAGTGCTTCCTTATCCGAGACTGAGTCCCACGTGGATGACAGCTCCCTGGACTTCCTTTCTCACGTGCCTTTCCTGTGAACTCCAGGATGGATCCTGAGGTCTCTGCCGTCCGGCTCACCGTCTGGGAGGCTGTTCACATCGTTTCATCTTCTGAGGATGGGGGCCGCATCTTCTGTACCCTGGGGTCCCTGAAGCGCTATCTTGGTGAAACGGAGAATCCAGCCCTCCCTGAGGAGCAGGAGGAGTTTGCCAGGATACACTTTTCCACCTTTCTCAGATGTCTGGTCGGCAAGCTGAGCCCCGACTGGCTGGAGCTGCTGCCTGACGGCCAAATGGAGGAGCTGTGGGCCAGCTTCTTCCTGGAGGGCCCGGCTGACCAAGCCTTCCTGGTGCTGATGGAGTCCATCGAGGGTGCTGCCAGGTGAGCTGGGCCGGGTCTGATTATGGGGTCGCTTTAACACCTGAAGGATTTCGAACCAACGGGTTCTCCAAATTCTGTGAGAGTTTGTCATCCTGAAAGGTGAGTGAATAAAACCTGTGCACATCAGAGCACTGAACTAAAAGCGGGTTGCGTTAATCTCCTGCGATGGGAAGGCCCTAGCCCTCTGTCTTGCCACGTGGGCCAGGGGGCAGCAGGAGTGTTTGCATCCGGGCTTAGGTGGTCTAGGTAGGCAGTGGGCGTGGCCACCCTCCTGGGGCCCCTTCACTCTGTGGCCCCCAGCTCTGTGTGAGGCACCCCAGCAAACTCATTCCCTCAACATCAAGCCCACCACGGTCCTTGTGGGGGAGCTGTGTCATTGGGAAGCTGGGTTTTCAGCAGTTGCTGTGGAAATCAGTGGGTCCGGTGATTCCAAGGTGGGGAAGCTGCGTGGGGCTGGCAGGCTTTCATGCCCTCCCCTAGCAAGCGAGGCTGTTTACACCTGCTCTTGGTTCAGCCCCAGCTTCTGTCTGATGAAGACGGCGCAGCTGCTGGCCAGGTTCCTGAGCGTGGGCAGGATGGCCGCTGTGATGGAGGGGCAGTGTCGGCAGCAGGCAGGGCCAGCCTTCCCCCTGCTCCAGGACACGCTTCTCACCAAGGTGGTGGGCCTGCCTGATCGCCTGGGCAGCCGCCTGCAGCGGGAGAACCTGCCTACGTTCTTGCCTCAGAGCTACTTCCCTCTACTGGGCGAGGACATCCTGCGGGCGCTGCAGGTGGTCGTGGACTCTCTCCGAGGTGAGAGCCTCTCTTCTAGCAGCCTCCTCAGGCCATCGTCCCCTCCCTGCCTCCCAGGGCTCCCGGGACTTTGCCATCTCTGGGCAGTGCCATCGTCCAGTCAGATGGTATCGCATGTCTGGGGCGGCAGCCACCCAGCCGTGAAGTTTCACCCACAGCTCTGCTGCCTTGGAGGTGGAGCTGACCCGTAAGCCCTGCCGTCCTTGGTTGGATGTCCAGGTGGGGCTGGTCACCGCCTGGCCCCTCACTCAGGATGAGGGAACGTCCACAGTCTGGAAACCAGAAAGCTCTTGCTGTGAAGAGGGTCCGTCCAAGGTGGCTGCCGGCTGTGGTGCCCATGGCCTTGTCATCGTGGCTGGAGGACCTCGGTGCTCTGGTGTCTGGAGGCGGTGCTAGGGGCCGACTCTGAGGGAGCTCTCTGCACCTGGGGGTCATGGGAGCAGCTTCCTGCCCACCCTCTCCACTAATCATGGCCTCTGGAGCATTAGGGACGTGGCTTCCCCACGTGTGTGTTCCAAGAGCCGAGAGAAGCCAGGGGCCATGGCAGCCTGAGTGGGGGTGGGCGTCAGGTGGTGAACAGTGGGCGGGCTGTCCGAGCCACCGCCCTTTCCCCCAGTGAGGCCCTGGCTTCCCTGCGGCCCCGGCCCCTGCACTGCCCCCACCCGGGCCCGAGCCCCTCATCTCACCTGGATTCTTACCACAGCCTCCCACGTGCCCTCCTGTCTTGTCTGAGCTGAGCAACTGCATGATGCTGTTACCATGAGCCACACTCAGAACCTTCCAGCATCTCTGCTCCCGCCTCCTCCCAGCTCTGGACTGGCAGGCGTTCCTGCTTGGGACGCCCCATGCTCTGGCCTCAAGTGCCTCTTCTCAGGGCCGCCTTTCTGGTCACCCTGTTTAGTGTTGTAGCTGCTGGCTTGTCATCTCCCTGGAACTGGCCATTCTCTATGGTGCTCCGAGGGGCCCCGCCTTGTTGTCCGACGTCCCCCCCCCGGAGTGAGCTGTGGGCCGGGACTTGTGCGCACCGCCGACCCGGCACTCAGAGTGGTGGCTGATGCAGGCCGGTGGTCCTCACGGGTGTTGAGAGAAATAGACCTAAGTATTGTGTCCTTGGGGCTGGAGTTGTGTCCACATCTCGCAGACTGTTCTGCCCCCGTGGACATGGGTCGTGAGGGGTCGCCTGTCTGCCCACGGTTAACCGCACATGGCGAGTGGCTGCTCTGGGAGACGGCCAGGTGGCACTCGGCAGGGGGCCGCAGGGGTGAGGCCTGTGCTGCTCTGTGGGGCCCCCTTGTGTCTGCACACCCCTGCTCCCCCTGCTGAGTCCCTGAGCATTACTGTCTCAGGTGAGGGAACCACGCCGGGGGAGGTGTGCGCCTGCGTTTCTACAGCCCAAGTGTCCAAGCGGGGTCCAGCAGGGCCGCCCAGCCCCTGCTCTGGCTGGGAGGGGCCGCCTGCCTGCGTGTCCTGAATGCCTCTGGAGCAGTGTCCCCTTCATCCTGTGAGTGGCTGCATTGAATTCTGTCTTGGCAGGATCCCAAACGCTCACCTTTAAATCTCAGATACTGCCTTTGCGTCATGCGCGGGGCCATCTGTCTCCTGGTCAGTCCCATCACCCTGGCTCTTCTGGGGCTGCTGCCGCCGCCCACCCTCTCCTTGTTCCTCCGTCCTCATTTCCTCCCTGTGGCGCTTAGAACCCCTCCTCTTCACTGGGCCCCTCTGGTGATGCCGCCTCCTGGTGCCCCGCAGTGGTCCCTGCTTTGTAGGATCACTGAACGTAATGCTTTTTAAGTGATTATTTTCATTGGCTCTTTGAGTTGGAAACAATGCTGGTGTGGTTGGAATTAGACTGAACAAGTTGGCAGTTTTACAATGTGGGATCCGCCTGGAACAAGGTCTGTCTCTGCTCAGCCAGGTGCGCGTTGATGGCCTTACCACCGTCTCCTTCCTGTCCCAGGTGGCCTGGACTGCTCCGTCTCCTTCCTGTCTCAGGTCCTGGGGAAAGCCTGCGTCCGTGGGAGACAGAGTGAGTGTTCGTCGTGGGAGAAGCTGCGGCACGTCCCGGGAGGGGTGGGCTGTGCGGATCCCTTGCGGGGAGTTGCTGAGGTCCCCTTGCCTGGGTCTGGCCCTGCTGGGCCCCTGGGTAGGGGATTGGCTCTGTGACAGGTGGGCCTGTGGGCTGCAGACACTGGACGCCCCATGGCCCCTGGGCTCAGGGCCCCTGTGTGCTTCCCCTCAGAGGAGGTCCTGGGCGTGCTTGTGCCCCGGCTGACGGTGCTCACCCAGGGCAGCTGCCTCTGGCAGCGGGTCTGCTGGTGTCTGGTGGAGCGCGTGCCCGACTGGGCCATGGAGGCCGTGCTGAAGGGGTTCGTGGAAGCCGCCCCAGGGTAAGAAATAAGGCATCCTTCCTGCTGCAAACGCTTCTCCCCCAGGAGGGCGGGCAGTGGGGATCCAAATGACTCCTGCCTATGTGGGGTCAACACTCACGGGACGTGGGCGGTGGCCCCTCTGTCTGGTGGCTGGTCATTTCGTAGAGTTTGGCTGTGCAAACGCCCATCTTTCCCACTCCTGACGGCTGGGCTGGGCCCCCCAGTCCTCACCTGGCTGGACCGAGACGGAGGCTGCGGCTTCTCTGCAGCCTGAGGGTCCCTGTTCTCAGAAAACCCAAATCATGCAGGCGGCTGTGCGGGGGACGCAGCTTCCTCCCACCTGGTGGCTGTGGTGACTTTCCTGTGTGCCCGTCCACCTCTGTGTCTGTGAGCAAGGGGGCCTGCGGTCCATGTTCCTGAAAGGGCAGTGCTGGGTCGCTTGGTTGTCATCCACGTTCCTTCAGACCGTCTCCCGGCATGAAGGGCCTGTTTCTCTGCCAAAGACGTTTCCTCCCTGTTTGACTTCACATTTCTTTGATTCTGGCTGAGGGTGTGTGTCTTGAAGACATCACGAACCATCTGATCGAGTCTTTTACTCACCTGTGTGAAGGCTCCTCGTGACGGGGGGCCCCCACCTTAACACAGGCCTGGGTCTGTCCTGGCCGCACCACTGGTTTGGCTTCTCTGAGACGTCCTAACTGCCCTGTGAGCCCAACATACCGTGGGTCACTGGGTAGGGCTCAGCCTTCTCTGTTACCAGGGCTGTCGTGCTGTCTGCCCCAGGGCTGTAGGTCACTTTGCCTGGGTCTTTCTCTTCGACTTTATCAGTTTTCTTGTTTTTTCTTTTTCTTTTAACCTTCACGTCTTTGATTTGAGGGATGAGGAGGGGAATGCAGCCTCACCTGCTTCCGTGCTGGCGGGAGGGTGTGTTGAGCTCTCATTCGCTAAAGGAAGCAGGGGTCTCAGTCTAGATTGGGATCTGCAGACTACGGCCTTTGGGTCGAATATGGCTCACTGTGTTTTTGTAAGTAAAGTTTTATCAGCGAACAGCCACACTCAGCCGTGTACCTACCTGCCGTCGCTGCTCTCAGCTACCGTGTCTCTACAGAGTCTGATGGCCTGTCAGCCTGGCCCTTCACAGAGAAAGCTGGCTGCCCTGGTCCAGGCAGAGCATTTCACTTGGACTGGTCGGGGCAAGCAAGGGATGTCCTCTTGTGTCCAGTCGCTGGGCTCCCTGGTCTCCACATTTACCGGGAGGAGGGAGAGTTAGGACTGACTCAGGGCTGAAGCACGTGCGCGGCTCCCTGGTGGTTAGCACGGAGCCCGGGGGTCCAGTGCGGATCCATGGGATTTGGAGTTGTGCTTTTCCCTCTCCCCACCGCTGGGCCTCGCAGGCCTGAAGTCCTCTCACGGCTGCTGGGGAACGTGGTGACAAAGAGTAAGAAGGCCCAGTTTGTAATGACCCGGAAGCTGCTGTTCCTACAGTACAGCTGCACGGTGAGGGTGCCGGCCGGGGGTGGCAGCTGCGGCAGGCGGGGCTGGAGCAGTGCTCGGCTGCCCGGACATGTCGCTGTCCTTCAGCCCAGACCCGTCCCGCCTCTGGGCTCCCCGGGCCGGGCGGGTGGTGTCTGCCTGGCAGACGGTGAGAGGACACTGGCTCTGTCGCAGATGCCCATGCTGCAGAGCCTGCTGGGCTACCTGGCCATGGACAGCCAGCGGCGCTCACTCCTCATGCAGGTAAGTGCTGCCTGTGCAGGTAAGGGACCCTCAAGTCCCCGCGGGAGAGCATTCCTG